CTGAGCGAGTACGAATTAAGAAACCACCCCTCCGTCAGCTTCACCGGGCAGAACGTAATGGACGCTGACCTGATGGCGTTACCTGTAGTTTTAGCAGGAGATTTTCACACTCATCATGATGTAAATTATTTCATATTCCAAATATGTTAAAGTGCCGTTTTTAACAAAATGTTCAGGGTCCCTGAACAGTAATCTGAGATGGGAAGGTTTGCCATAGATTTACTGAACATGAAAACGATGTTCAGCATAAGGTAAAAGAGAGACTAAATTTAAGTGCGGCTGGGAATCACAGGGAAATCTCCATCCTGAGCACAGATACGCCGTGCTGGGCATCGAGCAAGATGAAAAGAGCAAACGCACGTCACGGATCAAGTTTAACATCCAGGACGAGAAACAGCAACGTGGAGAGAACCTTGCCCAACTGTGATTAAACTACTTCGCAGCAGCCAACAAGGCCGGATAAATGGGAAAATTATCTTTCTTAATACGGTTACAGAATGCTCGATTTCAAAGCGTTTCATAAAAATAGGAACTCTACTAAACCCTTATCATTTACTGCTTGATGTCATTTGATACAGTTTCATTTCTATTGTCGAGTTCCCTAAACGTGTTGGGGGGGCAGTGGGGGTAGCGTATTTCACAAATATCTAACGTGCTTACCTACACACTGAGCATGTTCTTTTTTTTTTTCCCCTTTTTTCTCACCTCACATAACATACCTTAGCTAGTCTTTTGGAAGATTCACAATTATGGCCTGTACATGGCTTGGGTCCTTTGTCAGTGTCTACAGAGGAAACTGAGAAAATACGATATATTTATCATGGGTATAGGTACCACACCACAATATTTAAATTGGTTTTTGAAATATAAAACAGATCATATGTCTAATATTTCTATTCCACTAAAAATAAAGCAATTTTTCTAATGTTACATCACCCTTTTCAGCTAAAATCTAAGTCAAAAATTATTTATACAAATCAGGAAAAACTCACCATCACAGTGAGCTTAAGAATTAAGCAACCACGTTGGCAGTATTTGGCAACTGTAACAATGGAATTACTTTGACTTTTATACCATATTTATGTATATGTATGTATAAATGTGTGTATTCACTCAATATTCGACTTAACTCTACCCATATTAACACAGTGTCTATCATTTGACCAACTCACTCAATTCTTGATCTCTACAAAGAGATAAACCATTGTAACACCGGGCGGAGGAGGAGGTCGGACTTTAGTCGCGGCCACGGTAACCACAATCGTGAATACATTCATGTGTGCATGCGTCTATACACCTATTCACTCCACAGGTAATTACTGAGCACCTACTGCATACTAAGAGTCAAGCGAGGAGCCCGAGATACACGAGCGGGCAAAGCCAGCAAGCTCCCGGACTTTCTGAAAACTGTGTTCTAATGCAGAAAACCAAAATAGACAGTCAGACACAGAAACAATAACCCACGGTCACCGCAGAGACACACTGTAGGGCGAGGTGCTGCGTCCTAGAAAAGAGACAGAAGGGGAGACTGCCGTCACCTGCAAACTGTCCTTGGAGAGCGAGAGGGCAACGAAGACTTCCCGACACGCACACAAGCTGAGGGCTCCCGCCTCTGCACCTGCCTGAGGGAGCTGCTCGGGGGGCCTGCAGGGCAGGGAAGGGCCACGAGACGGCCGCGTGGGGCGGAGGAGGAACACGGGCCTCGACAGAGGGAGGCAGGCGGGCGACGCGGAAGAGCCGCCAGCACTGCGAGACTGGGTCCTGAGGGCAACTGCTCCACACGTGATTTAAGAGCCTCACACGCTCGAGGGAAAACAGTTCGTCCAAGAGCCCGTGTTACTGCAACTCTGGCTTGTCACTCCACGCTCCGCTCGCTACATAATTTAAGAAATCGGTTATTTGGGGGCACACAACGTGTAAAGTGGCAGTTTACGCCACCGAACAACAGAAAAGTGGGAACAGAGCTGTGAAAGGAGAGCGTGCTACTGGACAGAAGTTAGGCGGGGAGAGATTCCGACCAGAGTGCTCTAAAACGAGGGTGCTCAGTGTAATTCCCTCGCCAGCCACAGGGAAAATCACTACAGAGTACACACAAAAGGAAATGAGAGAGACCGAAGCATTCAACTACAAAAAAGACCGCAGTGAAGCAAATGAGGAACAAAGCTGCTGTAAAGCACAAAGAAAACAAACAGCAAGATGGCACAGGTGAGCCCTGCGTCACCCATGATCCTTTTAACAGAAAGGATGAATTTATCATCCATCAAAAGACCGAGATTTCCGAATGAATCAAAACTAGAATCCAACGGTATGCTGTCTACAGGACTCACTTTAAATACAAAACCAAGAATATACTGCAAATAAAAGGATGGGAAAAGAGACTCCATGCAAACTAACTAAAGCAGAGTAACAGACAAAGGAGGACACTGTAAACTGATAAAAGGTTCAATGCAGCAAGAATCTGCAACAATTATCAACACTTGCATACCGAATACAAGACAATAAAAAGGCTTGGAACAAAGAGCCAACAGAACTCGGAAGAGAAATACGCAGCTCGACAGTACCGTCTGGACACTCCGATACCTCACGATGACGGACAGAACAGTCAAACTGAAGACAAGGAAACAGAGGACCTGGCAAACAGCTGGTTTCAAGCGTGAGGTCTAGCAACAATCAAGAATCAACACCAGTCCTCTCAAACGCTTCCAGAAAGCTGAAGAGGAGGACACACCTTTAAACTCATCTGTTGAAGCCAGCATCATCCGGACACAAAAGCCAGACAAAGACACGATGGGGAAACTACAGATTAATATCCCTAATGGACACCGATGCAAAAGCCCTCAACGAAACACTGACAAACCACACCCGGGAGCTAATTAACAGAATTATGCACCATGACCAAGTGGGACTCACCGCCAGCATTCAGTGCTGGGTCAGCAACAAAACAAAATCCATTACTGTGGCTTTGAACATACACGTGA